AAAATGAGGTGTTACCAAATACGTCCATCAGGCAAACTGCTCCTGATTCAGCATTTGTAGCCTCTGGGTCTGCCGAGCAAAGCTGCTTTTGGCACTGCGAAAACCTTGTGCAGCACTGCAAGGCCAAAACACAATAACTATTTAACAGCGAGGTAGGTATAAATAAATAGATAACTTCAGAAGCGAGGTTCGTTTGCTGGAGGTCCTCTGCAGTCAACAGCTCTTCCTTTGGCATGCAGAGGGAGCCTGGAGCGATTACCAAACACCCCAGAGCCGGGGCGAACCTCTGTGAAATTCACTACTTGCAATTTCTACCCTTCTATTCCATTACTCCGTTTTCTGTCTGCTCTGCTGGGTCCCTCGCACAACCAGCTCTTCACCGGCCCGCTGCTGTACTTACAGACACCTTCGCTCCCGTAGGCAAGTTTGGGGGGAATTTTCACGAACCGCCGCTCGTTCACGCACATGCCGACCAGAGCTTTGTCCATCCCAGCAATAAGTTGACCTTTTCCCACAAAGACGTTGAACGTGGATCCCCTGTCATAGCTGAAGAGGGAAAAGCGAGCAAAAATGTTAGCGGTCCATTTACCCATCATTCCACTATTTTTTTGAGAGCTTAACCGTACCCTGTCTCCCCCTTGCCCTGTACTTGTATCACGAGACAGCTGCTAAGAGAAGGGGCAAATCTAAATGTTTCTTGAGACTTCAGCCCAGCTCTCCATCTGTTCACAGCTCACCGTCTATCCGAAACGCATTCCAGCAGCGTGCGATGTAGCCTGCGGGCACCCAACACCCCTAACTACAGACGGCTAATTTACACGCTAATACTGTAAGCAGCACTGGAACGTTACGGACAAGAAAGAAAAATTCAACAATAGTACAAGATATGAAAGGATGGCTGCTCCCACAGCAGGACCTCAGCGCATTGGTTTTGGTGAGTAACACCACAAAAAATATTACACGAGCCCGGTAAGCTTTATGAGGTGAGACATCAGGGCTGGGGATTCTCTGCAGGAGAAGAGGAAAGGGAAAAAGACGCCTTTTTGAGGAATAGTTGTGAGATTTGCCAAGCGGTTATTTATTTTCTCCACTTGGTTACTTATTTTCTCCTCCACATTCCCAGCTCTCACATCATTAAGACAAATAATCAAAAAATAGAGGCGTGCTTTAAGCAGCAAGTTTGCCAGATCAAGAATCAAGAGAGCTAACTAAAATGACCTTCCGCTGTGATGGTACATGAACATTTGAAAGGTAAAAGGAACGATGCTTAAATGGTAATGAAGTTTTCCACAGGAAGCAGTGGTGCTACCACAGAGCAGTCACATCAGCTTACGTGCTTAGTTGGACTACCTTAAATCCACACAGTGACCCCACTTTGCTGTGCCTGAATTACTGCTGTTATTTAATTTTTTTTAAAGCAATGTATAAACACGCAGCAGGAAGCATTTCAAAAGCTTCATGCCTACTTTTAAGCTTTTACTGCTTCCATTTCCTCAAATTCCTTTTATAATTTAAAGGACTTTTTTTTTTTTTTTTCCAGATAAAAGGCAGCACTGGAAAAAATAATTAAAAAAAAAAAAAAAAAAAGGCTCGTGCCTCTTTTCCTGCTAAAATATTCTGGAAAGCAGCCAGCAGCTAGATATCACTAGGGAAATGATGTCAAACTTTCCTTCAAAGACTGTACACATCACTTCCACAACACACTGAGCCTCCTAACAGTCCGAGAGCCTTGAGTCCCTCAAATATTTTACCGACTGATCTCTCTGTTTGCTCCACCATTTTTTTTTTTCCAGCAAACATTTCCCTGAAAGTAGAGAGCCCTCTATGCAGAGCGTTCACTTTCGGTTGCACAAACATTCCTACTCCCAGGCAAGGATGGAAAATTTTTAAATTAGCTCCTGACAAAGTCTATTATACACACAAACCCATAATTAAGATGTTAAGACTAATAACATAATAGGTTCTAAGATCCCCCCAAAAGTGGTATTTTGTAGCAGTTGACAAAGCTTGGCAATACATCTGGGAGGGACTTAAAACAGAAGAGCTTTTTTATTCCAAAAATAAACCTGCAATTAAGAAAACAGTGGTGCTAAGCAGAGAGCTGAACAAGGCAGTGAGCAGATGATGCAGCTTTGCAGGATTGACTTCGCAGATTCCTTAAAATTAAGCAAAATTCGTTTCTGTTAGAAGAATTTACCAAATTCACAGCAGATGACTCGGCAATTAAATTCAGATTTAAAAATGCAAATCCTTTTAGGGCCATGGAAGTAAAAATGCAAATACTGAGGGGAAAAAAAAAAAGAATGAACAGGCACACTGGTTCATTTATGTGACACAGTCACGATCACTGAGACTGTCAACAGGCTGTTAACAGCAGGAGCTGTATTACTACCTTCTACTTGGAAATGCGGAAAAATAATTTTAAACCTCAAGAACATTTTCAGGAGCTGAAGGAGAAACAAAGTAAAACTGCCCTTAGTTTAATACTGAGAGTATCTTTCTAGACTGATTTCACAGCAGTGTTTGACAAAACTGATGCCGGTAAGCACTTTCGTAAACATAAAAAAGAAAAAGCAGGTAGCAACTCTGACAGGTAGGAAAAGGGGCTTTCAAACAGGGTCATTTTAGTATAACTTGTATGCAGGGAACACTAAAGATTTTGTGACAAAAACTCCAAAATATTTCTTCCATTAACCTACAGAACATAAAACCCTCCTAGTTTTCCACTGTCTTAACATGACAGACCATGTAAAAAATGACCATAGTTAGCGGATAACAAAAACGTATGTCGGCATGAGCTGCCGTCTAGGAAAAAAAATGACGAGCTGAACAAACCTGACTTTTTGCACCCTTTTGAAATGAAGATGCCCCGACAAATGCTCATGCTAGATCAGACTCTTATCGTTATTTACTGATCTTTAGAGGACCCGAAGAGATAAACACCGTACAGCTCCGCACAGCCCGTTCCTGCCCCAAATAATTCAGAGCCACATGAGAAGGAACTTGGGAATTAAACACCCGGGCAAGCCCCTCCGGGTGCCCTGCTTCAGTGCAGAAATTTGCCGGTACAACTCAGCATCCAAGTAAGCCCCAGCAGGCATCTGTAGAAATCAGAAACACATTTCTGAACACATGGCTGGGTTTCGAGTTGTCGCGTATTTGTGAAATGAGCAGTGAGGACGCTGCCTTCCCGTGTCTTGTCCTCACATCCGCAGCTAAGACATATCTCCCGAGACTTTCAGCCGCCGGGGAATTCACTGTCCTTTGCTGTGCTTTTTCACTGAAACCGCCCCACCGCCAGCCCAAGCGCCGGCCACCGCATCCCACACTTTATCCGGAGAAGCGCTGGTGAAGCGGCAGTACCAGGGTGCTGAAGCAGAGTCAGCTCCGGAGGAAGAGCTGAGCTCACTTTGACAGGCAGTTATTCCCCTGAGGCTGTAGATTTTCCTTGAAGCACACGGAAGATTACCAGGCTTACTGAAAACACACTGTGCTTTTTCTTTCGGAGTAATACTTTGATCAGCGGCAATGAATGAAACGAGAAAAAACAAATAGGCTGTCAGCAGCAGCAGCACCCTTCACAACCTCTCGATCCCACTATTTGGGCTTCCTGATCCCAAAATAACAGCAGGAAAGCGGCCAGACACTTCACTGCTCATAGGCCACGTTTATTCACGGGTAACTTATCCCAAAATGTAAGCACAGCCTGTTAATTCTTGTGCTTCTGGTAAAGATAACGATTCAGAAATGCTTGCCTTCTAGTAGGTTTGAGCCTGGAGAAGGCATGGGAAACGGTACAGAAAGAAACGGGCAGGAAATTGCTGAATACTGTGACCGACTGCGGTATCGTATGTGCCCCGTCTGCCAGGCTAACCGAATTTCCTCACGGTCGTCTTCTCTCTTGGAGCAGGAAGCTCCCGTACAGCGCCTCGGGGAAGCGGCTGGAAGAAGGTGTCGGGGATCCATCGGAGCAGGGAAACCACCGCGAACTGGACCCAGCTGCTGCAGAGGTCTTGCCCCCCAGCCCCCCGGCAGTCACGCCCCAGCCCTTTCAGCCCTTGCGTGTTTCCAAGACCCCTTCCCAACGGCGGCCTCTACGTTCTGCACCCTCCGCGCCTACCGCGCT